CGGCGATGTCGACGCCATCGAGAGCGAGACCCGAGCACGGGGCAACGCGCATGCACGCGCCCGGCGGCACCAGCGCCGCTTCACGACCCTGATACTGGCGTCGGAGCCAGCGCACGCGTCGTCGCCGACGGAGCTGGCGGCGTTTCGCGCAGGGGCCCTCGCAGTCGGACAGAGAAATTGGACGTTCAGCTCGTTCAAGCATCGCCCGTCGGGGTCGGGGCGACCCTGGCCGCCATTGCCCGCCGCCCGCAGCCTGGGCTGCTTAGCCGGCAGGCCCCGGGAGCGCGGCCGGAGCTCGCCGAAATTATCAACTGGGGCGCAAAGGCGACCGCTCTGCGCTGACTCTGGGTCGGAGCGTTTCGCACCTGGGCCTCAGCGAAGGCGAGCGGTTACCGCCTGTTTCCACCACCCCGTCGCTGGACTGCGTGGACGGTGGACCCGACGGGGCAGGGAGAGCATCGCCTCCGCGGCAGGAGCGCGCACGCTGTGTTGGGCGGTCACACCGCGGCGCGATGCGGCGGCGATGGGACGGCGAATTTCCCGCCTTGCCACCTCTGACCCTGCGCGCACTCCTGCCGCGCACGGCGGGGCGGACAACTTCCCCCCCGAGGGTTGGAGCTTCGCCCGCGCGGCTCGCCAGGCCAAGTCTCGGGCGAATCGCGCGCCCTGGTGGTCGGCCCAAGCGACGGCGTCGACGACGACGCCGGCGTCGGCGAGTGGCGCGCGAGCTCGAGCATGCACCTGGCGAAGTCAGCCACCAGGGGGGCGCAAGACCAAGCGACGTGGGCCTGCGCAGAGGCACGCCGAAGTCCAGGTATACACCGCAGGACACTGCCGCGTCCACTGCTGACGCCTGGAGACCTCAGGAGATGCGGCCGCGGTGTCCCAGGGGTTGGAGTGGGCCAGGGGGGCTGCGCGGTGTCCTGTTGTGGCGGCGCCTCCTCAGCACGTCTCCTGCCAGCGCTTCGTCGGCCGGCGCCGCGGGCGTCGGTCCTGCGGGCGCGCGATCTGCACCAATCAAGCGGAACTCGGCGATGACGTCGGCCGGTCCACGGCACGCCGGGCAGCAGACCAAACTGGCGCCAGTGTTCGCACGAGTTGCGGGCGGCGTACGCGGCGCGGAATGCGTCGGCACGGCAGTCGCGCAACCCTCTCGCCGTGGACGAGGGTCTCGAGACTGATGGGGCACCCCCCGCCGTCGCCGTTGCACGCGGCCACGGCGGGGGGGGGGGGGGGGCAGCGAGCGCAGCAGCCGGCAGGGGGGGGGTCTTTCGGCCCACCTCCGCGCGGCTCGGCGTCGTTCTCGCCCCGATGTCGCAATAACTCCAGCGCTAGTTGCGCGCCGTGGAGCTCGCCGAGGCGTCGTCGCCGGGCGCAGTCGAGAGCGGCGCGCGCGCCGCGCGCGGATCGGCCGCCGCCGGACGGCCACCCACGTCTCGCGGACAGCGCAACTCTCCCCGATGGTTGCCGACGCCAACTGGCCTGCCCGAGTTCCGCAGGGCCGCTTCCGACGGAGTCGCCAGCACCGGCGGCGACGCGGGCTCTGGCGTCGATTGCGGCGGCCAGGCGGAACACGATCCGCAAGGCGCGCCGATGCTAAATGAGGCCACACTGAAGGCATGCAAGCCCAGCTCGGCAATTGCACGTCGGCAGCCGGTCGCGCGGGAGCGGCGGCTCGCGCGCTGACGCCGCTGGGCCAGTCGCGCCCCTGGGCCTGTCCCAGAGGACGCGAACCGCCAACTCGCGCCCACCGTGGCGGCGCGAGCGACGCTGCCAGCGACGGCCCCCTCGCTGCCGCCGCACGGGCCTGCAACGCAACCGCGGCCCCCTCAGCGGCCGCGCGGGGGCTAGCGCGCACCCCGCGCCACGAGGTCGCCCACGCCCTGTCGTCGCCGTCGGAACTCGGCGTCGCGGGGGCCGGGCGACGACGACGACGACGACGACGACGACGCCCAACGAAACCACAGAGTGCAACCAACCTGGCGCCACGAGCCGTCGGGCGACAAACTTGGCGCAGTAGCAGCTGATGCTGGCCACTACGCTGCCTTCGCCGGCGCCGGCCGTCTGCCATTCGAAGGATCAGAACTCTGCATGGAATCACTCCCGCCAGGGCCCGCAGTCACGGACTGCCCTGAGCCGGCGGCGCCCCTGATCATCCAAGCCGAACGCGCGCCCGCCAGGGGCCGCTTCTCAGTCAGGCTCGGCGGCCCCGTTTGCCCCGGGCGGGGGCGGCGCGGGCGCCGGCGGCAACGGGCGCGGGCGCCGAGGAAACAGAGCGCGCCCCTGGATGCGACGCCGGGGGCAGTCGCGCACGAGGCGTTCCACTGATCACACTCGCGGCATCTGCGACGTTCCTCGCCATGACCCACGGGTTTGCCACGACGGCCCGACTCCGCGCCGATGGCCCCGAATCCCCACGCCCCCTCACCCCTGCCCTGCCCGGGGCCCGCGACTGTTTTCCCTAAACGATATCCAAGCAAGTCAACCAGGAAGGCCGGGTAGCCCTGGCAGCCCTCGCCTCGGCCCTTGCTTTCCTGCCGATGACCCACCAGGCGCGGCGCGAGGGCCGGCAGTCGCCGAGGCGTCGCCGTCGCGATTCGGCGCGCTCGCAAGCCCGGAACAGGCGCGCGCCTCGCTGCTCCACGGGAAACCCGCGCAGCTCGGGGCCGTCGGCGGCCATTCCTGTCACGACGAATGAGCCGACGGCGTCGGCGTCGGCGCCCGCGCCGATATCTGCCGCCGGGAACGCCTTCGGCGCCTGCGGCGCCGGCGCAGGCGGGCCCCGCGCCGCCCCCAGCGCCGCGGCTGCAGCGCGGTAGGAACCTGCTCTCGCGCGGGCGCACCCGCGAGGGGTGCTCGCCACTGGGCCCAGCGGGCCGCCGAGGCGAGATTGCCGGGCGACCCCCTGACCACATGACCACCGCGCCGCAGCTGGCCCGTCGCGCGCGCGAGCTGCGCTGCATTGGTCGGGCGGCCACGTCGCAGCGCTGCAAGATCAGGGCCAGCCGCGCGCAGGACACCCCGACCGCGCGCAAGAGGGAGAAACCGAGGCCTTCGTAGCCGATCACAAGATGACCCGCTTGCTGCGCGGCCGCAGAGGATGTCAAAGCGGGCGTCGTCGACGCGCCCCTGCGGCAGTCCGCTAAGTCCATGAACGCAGAGGCTGCCGCGCCGCGCCCCTCCTCGCCCAATTGGCACCGTCGTTCGGCCAAACTGCGCAGCAAAAAAGTCACCGGCGGCACTGGGTCGCCAGCGACGCGACCTCCCTGGACCAGGACAGCCGGCGGCCACTCATCCACGCGCCCGCGAGGCATGCCAGCGAGGCGAGACGAGACGTAGGCCGCCCGTCAGAACTCCGCGGGGTCCAAGTTCGCCGCTGACAAGACCATCACCTCCCGCGCCCGTCGTTGGAAGGGAACCCGAGATTGCCGCTCGGGCCCCCAGGTCTGGAGGCGTCGCACGTTGCCGCCGCCGCCTCCTGCGCCCATGCAGGTTAGGCAGCTGGCCACGGCAAGCATGCCCACGCCGATGGCCTTCCATCCCGAAGGGAGGTCGCTCGATAAGTCCAGGAGACGCTGGAGGCGTGGGCCCACGCGCGGCACTGCTCTGACCATGAGCCTCGGAGCCGTCGCGGGCCCTGCCCCGAACGCGTTCCTCTTCGTCAGCGCATAGGCGCAGCTTCCAGTCGCGTCGTCGCGGCTGTCGCTGCGCTTGGGGCATCCCACAAAAATTGAGGCCATGCCCTTCGTGCGTCGCAACGTCGTGGCGACCGATGCACTCGGCGCACACCGCAACATAGCTGCCGCTATGTATTTCGCGCAACGCGTCGTTACCATATTTTCAAGACCACCAACTGCACGCATGCCCAGAGGAGAACGCATCATAATCTCGTGCTGCCAGTCTGAAGGGAACCAGCGGGTGTAGCGATGTGCCATATTCCAAAAGAGCGAAGACATATCGTCCCAGACCTGCTTCACTCTCCATTGGAGAGCTGGCGCCATAGTCGTCAAACAATTCATTGATTTCACATTCTGATCGAAATTCTTACCCACCTGCATGTCCCACGGCCGTCAACATAGTTGCGAGCAACTCGGGACAACTGAAGAAGGGTGCTGATGTACACGTTGGGCCACGTGTCCGCTCCTCACGCTTAGCCGAAAAAAGGAGGTCCCCATTGATTCCCCGAGCGCCTCGAACATAGTTCGAGCACACCCCGGGAAAGAGGCAGGCAACGGCGGGGTGACGCCGCGATCCTTGGTGTTCTTGGTGTCGAGATCGTTCGGATTGTAGTCAATGCACTGGCTGTACCCGTACCGGTAGTTCGTCCCGCTGTCCGTTTTAGCGGAAACGAAACGACTGAACACGGAGTGCAAAAAGATGCGGTGCATGTTTGCCGAAAACGGCGAGAAAATGAAGGCCACTGTCGAAGAGCAGTGGCCGGGAGGAGGTACCGCGTGGGCCATGGCGGCAGGAAGCGCAGATCGGAGCAAAACCCCGCTACCATTTATGATAACGAAATGTACGTTAAAAGCTGTTCTTGCGCATGGCACGATATGTTGTTAAAACGAGTCACACACGGGTACGGAAAAATATTCCTTTCCGTGCCCCCATGCGAAGTGGCCGCGGGAAAACGGAGACTTTTGGACAGGGCGAGGACCAGTGCAATAAATCAAGGGAGACAACTTACCCCGTTCGAGTGGCAAAAGCAGGAGGAACGGGCGGGAGAGAAGGATGAAAGCGAGGAAAGAGAAATGGAGGGAGAAGGAGAAGGGGGACAAAAAGAGGCAAGGTCGGAAAGAGAGGAGAGGGAAACTAAGGGAGGAAATGGAAGCAGGCAGGGGAGGGGAGGGGAGGGGAGGGGAGGGGAAGGGAGGGGCGATGAAGGAGGAAGGAAGGAAAGGGAAGGGGCAGTGCAGGAAGCACCCGCGCTTTAACGACACGTGCCACATGCTGCACCGCAGGAGTGGCCGCTGAACTGCGCCCACCCGCCCCCGCCCCACCTGCACGCAACGCTGGCGGCGCTTGCATCAAGACCTTGCCCGTGCGCCTGTCGGTCCGGGTCTTGAGATCCTGCCGCGGGGCGCGCGGGCTGTAAACGCAGGGCCCACTTCATCACCCCTCCCCCTCATCACACACTCCCCTTCCTGCTAGTCCTCCTACTGCTCCCTCCCTCCTACCTCACTCGTCCGACCATGGGCACCTGTTCCGCTCTCGGCAATCTTCGGTGGTCTTCGGCGGTTCTTGTGCGGTCTCTGACGGTCTCCGAGCGTTTGGCGCGGAAGCTGCATGAATGTGCTTCACGAGGGTCCATGATCGAACACCTGACATGCGTCCAACTCCTCCTCCTCCTCCTCCTCCTCCTTTTCCCCCTCCTCCTCCTCCTCCTCCTCCTCCTCCTCCTCCTCCTCCTCCTCCTCCTCCTCCTCCTCCTCCTCTTCTTATTATTATTATCATCATTATTATTATTAGTGTTATTATTATTGTTATTAGTATTATTATGATTATTATTATTATGTATTATTAATATTAGTATTATTATTAGTATTGTTATTATTATTATTATTAGTAGTAGTATTGTCATTGATATTATTATCATTATTATTATCATCATCATTATTATTATTATTAGTATCATTGTTAGTATTAGCATTATTATTATTAATAATATTATTATTAATAGTATTATTAGTATTATTAGTATTAGTATTAGTATTATTATCACTAGTATTAGTATTAGTATTATTAGTATTATTATTAGTATCATTATTATTAGTATCATTATTATTATTAGAGTTAGTAGTATTATTATTGTTGGTATGCGTATTAGTCTTCTTATTCGTATTATTCGTCTTATTAGCATGCGGCTTCTTATTATTCTGATTAGTATTATTCTTAGTGGTATTCTTCTTAGTATTATTATTGTTCTTATTCGTATGATTATTAGTATTAGTCTTCTTCTTATTCTTATGATTACTACTGTTAGTATTATGTTCTATTATTTTTATTATGATTATTATTATTAATATTCTTCGTCGTCCTCTTCTTAGTCGTATTATTATTATTGTTAGTCCTCCTCCTCCTCCTCCTCCTCCTCCTCCTCCGCCTCCGCCGCCTCCTCCTCCTCCTCTTCCTCCTCCCTCCCTCCCTCCCTCCCTCCCTCCCTCCCTCCCTCCCTCCCCCTCATCCTCCTCCTCCCTCCTCCTCTCCTCCTCCTCTCCTCCTCCTCCTCCTCCTCCTCCTCCTCCTCCTCCTCCTCCTCCTCCGCCTCCTCCTCCTCCTCCTCCTCCTCCTCCTCCTCCTCCTCCTTCCTCCTCCTCCTCCTCCTCCTCCTCCTCCTCCTCCTCCTCCTCCTCCTCCTCCTCCTCCTCCTCCTCCTCCTCCTCCTCCTCCTCCCCCTCCTCCCCCTCCTCCCCCTCCTCCTCCTCCTCCTCCTCCTCCTCCTCCTCCTCCTCCTCCTCCTCCTCCTCCTCATCTCATCATCATCATCTCATCATCATCATCATCATCATCATCATCATCATCAGCAGCAGCAGCATCAGCATCAGCATCAGCATCAGCATCAGCATCAGCATCATCATCACCATCATCATCATCATCATCATCATCATCATCATCAGCAGCAGCAGCATCATCATCAGCATCATCAGCATCATCAGCATCATCAGCATCATCATCATCATCATCATCATCATCATCATCATCATCAGTATCATCATCAGCATCGTCATCAGCAGCATCAGCATCATCAGCATAATCATCAGCAGCATCATCATCAGCATCATCATCAGCATCATCAGCATCATCGTCATCATCATCAGCGGCATCAGCATCATCATCATCGTCGTCAGCATCAGCATCATCAGCATAATCAGCATCAGCAGCATCATCAGTAACATCATTACCAGCCTGATCATCATGATCATCCTCATCATCAGCATCAGCATCATCATCATCAGCATCATCAGTAGCATCAGCATCATCATCAGCATCATCATCTTCGTCATCGTCATCATCCGCATCAGCATCATCATCAGAACCATGATCATCATGATCATCATCATCATCATCATCATCAACAACAGCAGCAGCATCAGCATCAACATCATCATCAGCATCGTGCTCATCATCAGCAGCAACAGCATCATCATCATCATCATCATCATCATCATCACAATTATTATCATCATCAGTATCATCATCATTTGTATCAGCATCATCACCATCATCATCATCAGCATCAGCATCGTCATCATCATCGTCAACGTCATCATCAGCATGATCATCATCATCATCATCATCATCATCAGCAGCATAATCAGCATCAGCATCTTCGTCATCGTCATCATCAGCTCAGCATCAGCATCATCCGCATCGTCAGCATCAGCATCATTACCATCATCATCATCATCAGCACCAGCATCATCAGCATCATCAGCAGCAACATCAGCATCATCACTATCATCATCATCATTATCATTATCAGCATCATCGTCACCATCATCAGCATCATCATCAGCATCATCAGCGTCATCATCAGCATCATCACCATCAGCATCATCAGCATCATCAGCATAATCATCGTCAGAATCGTCATTAGCATCATCAGACTCACCATCAGCAGCATCATCATCAGCATCACCATCGTTATCATCGTCAACGTCATCATCAGCATGATCATCAGCACCATCATCATCAGCATCATCAACATCATGAGCATCATCATCAGCATCATCGTAATGCTCATCCTAATCGTCATCAAGGCCATCTTCATCATCTGCACCATCATCATCGTAATGATCATCATCAGCAGCATCATCATCAGTGCCAGATTCATCATCATCAGCATCATCATCGGTAGTATCATCAGAATCGGCAACACCGTCATCATCAACATCCTCAGAATCACCGACATCATCAGCAGCAGCATCATCATCGGAATCAACATCATCATCATCATCGGCGTAATATTTGTCACCCTGGTCATCACCATAAGCAGTAGCATCATCATCAGCATCATCAGCAGCAGCATCATTATCATCTTGATCATCATCATCATCATCATCAGCAGCAGCAGCATCATCATCATTATCATCGTCATTTTGTCCTCATCGATCACGTTCATCTTCATGATCATCCGTGGTCCCTCTCCTCCTTTCCTCCTCCTCCTCCTCTTCATCATCATCTTCCACTTATCGATATGAATCCGCTGTTTAGCAGTATCATTCATAATAATATGTTTATTATGTGGTACTCTCATATGTAGCCGACGTCGCCGCCCCGTCGCCGCCTCGTCGCCGCCCGTCGCCGCCCATCGCCAGGGCCTGTCTGTCGGTCTGGCAGCTATGCTGCCGCCGTCGCCGCCCCGTCGCCGCCTCGTCGCCGCCCGTAGTTTGGGCCTGTCTGACGGTCTGGAGGCTATGTAGCCGACGTCGCCGCCCCGTGGCCACCACGTCTCCGCCCGTCGTCTGGGCTTGTTTGTCGATCTGGCGGCTAAGTTGCCGCCGTCGCCGTCCCATCGCCGCTTCGCGAACGGGCCTGTGATATACCCCGTGGCGCCCCCCTCGGAAGTGCTGAAACCAACGCTTGGCCTGAGACGTCCTCGGAAACTGCCCCGAAAGAGAAAGATGCTAAGCACCCAAACAGGCAAACCGCATGAGACTTCCCCCCAAATTGGGCGCGAACGGGCCCGTGATATACCCCCTGGCACACCCCTTGGAAGTGCTGAGACCAACGCCTCGCCTGAGACATCCTCGGAAACTGCTCCGAAAGAGAAGGATGTTGAACACCCAAACAGGCAAACCGCATGAGACTTCCCCCCAATATAGGCGCGAACGGGCCTGTGATATACCCCGTGGCGCTCCCCGTTTGGAAGTGCTGAAACCAACGTTTCGCCTGAGACATCCTCGGAAACTGTTCCGAATGAGAAAGATGTTGAGCACCTAAACAGGCAAACGGCCTGAGACATCCCCCCAGTTTGGGCGCGAACGGGCATGTGGTATATCCTGGGCGCCCCCCTTTGGCAGTGTTGCCACCGGCGCCTCGCCTGAGACATCGTCACAACATGCGTGCGGGCCTGAGCGCGAAGGGGCCACTACTGTGAGTGAGCCTGCATATGAGTGGTCCCGAGCACAAGAAACCTGAAAATCAGGAACCGAAGAGCGAGCGCATATGAGTATGAGTGGGTATGTGTACGAATGAGTCTACATGTGAGAGAAGCAGAGAATGATGACCTGAATGTGGGAGGTGGTGTCTCGTTCTCCGCGCGGCCAGATCAATGTAATAAGAAGGCACCCATCCTTAGGATATGGGGGGAAAGCATGTGGTGTCGTGAAGATTTCAAAACCGACTGTCCCAAAAAAACATGTACACCCACACGGTTTCGCAACATTGTTTTCCAAAAAACAAACAAACAAAAAATGCGTTTTCTTGCGAATTCTTAGGTAAACGAATGGTTTTCGGCATGGCATACGATGTGTCCAAAAAGGTTTCGCGCGCGAATGTCAGAATCGTTGGAACACCCTTTGCGCGCGTGCTGTCGCAAGAATAGTTCTGCAAAAAGCGGGCGAAATGCACGCGCGCACGTCGTCCCGCGCGCGTGTGCCGCAATCATTGGAAAACCGGAGGTTCCATAGAATGTCAAAACCGTGCGTCGCGAAACCCTGCAAACACAGATGGGTTCGCAACATCACTAGAAATATATAGATACATATACATATTTATGAACCCCCCCAAAAAAACACACTGTCGATCTTGTGAATGGTTGGGAAAACCGTTAGTCTTTCCACATGTTCATAGAATTCGGCCAAACGGGCCTCTCGCGCCGCATACCGAAATCATTCGAACGCCCTTGCGCGCGCGCTGGGGGGGCACGACCAACGTCAAATAATACCATACGGGCCGCTGTCGCGCGTCGGTCGCGCGCGCATGTCGAGCCCCTTCCGAAACCTTCATCGCCGACGCGAGGGCGCCGTCATCGTCATCGGCGTGATCAGCATCGGCGCTGTCACTGGCCGCGCCGTCGTCGCTGTCAACATCGCCACCAGCATCGTTACTATCATCATCGTGCCTAT